TTTTATGTCACTGATTGGACAATGCTCCAGTTTTCCGCCGCCGGATTATGGAAGTGCGGATAAGTGTTCCGAATACCCTCCGATATGCCAAAAATATAAAACTGGCATCACTGGTATAAATCATCAGTGTATAGACTTTAAAAGACTCGAAATAAGTCCAGTACCCAGCCGGTTTCCCTTCACTCACTGAAAAGACTCCACCACATCCCGTTCGACTGTGGGTATATCTCGAATGGGTAGTCTTTCTGTGTGTGTTTGTATTATTCCTTAATAAAACGAACACGAATACAAATACGAGACTACAAATTGACAAGAAATAATACATGCCATCCGGAACATCGCCCCGGTGGTCTAGTTGGAACCCTCGAAACCTTCTCGAGGCCAGGTCAGGGGTTCGAATCCCGGCGTGAGCGAGCTTTTCTTGCAAAGGGAGTTTTTCTTTCGCTTCCGCTCGTAGCCCAGTGGATAGCGCTAGTTCGTGTGTACACAGAGGGAAGAGAGTGCTGAACTCTTCTCGCATTAAAATCGAAGGCAAAGTACCGCAGGGGGGGAGGGTAGAGAGGGGCTCTTCTGTGTGACCACGGGTGGGAGTAAACGGCACTAGTGCTGTGAGAGCTGATTTGAAGCGAAGACAATAAAAAAGAAGAAAAAGAACGGTGACCACGTGGGAGTAAACGGCACTAGTAGTGCTGTGAGCGCTGATTTGAAGTGAAGACAATAAAAAAGAAGAAAAATAACGGAACATCGAGCTGGCTTGCCACACCTCTAGTGAATCGTGCAAGCAAGCATGTGTTCATTTCGATGCTCGTCTTGCCGCCTGCAAACATCTTGGCGATGCAAGCAATAGCTTGGCAGAGAGCTGACATCCAGCAGAGCACGGTATGATATGACGTGAAGTACTTTCTTTGAGCGAGATCTGCTCTAAGTTGAGAGAGAGAGAGGACCATCGCCGTGAAATTCTTTCATAAACAACGCAGGTCACTGGCAGCTGTTTGGGCAATCCTATATCAATAAGCCCGCAGCATTCGATCACACATTGCCCGCCGAGGTCGCAGCGTAATAGATGCGAGACCAAGACTCCCCAACCTGCCTGGTCATGGCCGTTGTTCGGAGCTATTGTTCGCACCCTTGGATGCCGTGTGGCTCTCATGGTCATGGTTTGAATCATCTCACCCGGCACAATATACGCTATGGGTATTATTAACAAAACGGAACAGCAGTCGCTTGTTGCTGCTGCTGCTGCTGCTGCTGCTGTTGGGGACGAGGATGGTAGTACTGCTGTTGCTGAGGCTGCTGCGGATGCTGCTGTTGAGACTGCTGCGGATGCTGCTGTTGAGGCTGCTGTGGCTGTTGTTGTTGCTGCTGTGATGACTGCTGCCGCCGCTGCTGCTGCCGCTGCTTTCTCTCCTTTTCCCGCTGCTGTTGGTAGCACTCCGCGTTGGTGTGGTTTGACCACGGATGAAAATGACAGCGCCTGTCTCCTCTGGTCTCGTCGCTCCTGCTCCGACCGTCGCCTTTGTCGTCCTGTCCGCCGCCGTTCCCACTCGACCCATTTGGGACACGTCCGTCGCCCCGGGGCGCACCGGAAGCGACGAAGGCGTGCCCCACGCCACTCTTTTGCTCCTCCTCCCGTGCGCGCACCAGGTCCGTGTGGGCCTCCTTCACGGAATCCTCAATCTGCTCAAAAGTCAAATCAGGGGTGCGGTCCAAAAGTTTCTTCTCTATCTTGTAGTCGGACGAGAGTGCAGACACTAGGTGGTCGTTTGCTTCGTTGTCAGGATACACTGTCCCGTGCGACGCTAGTCTACTCCGCAAAATAGAGAACCTACCGAAGTACTCTTGTGGATGTTCGTTTGCATGCATTGCGAAGCCATGGTACTCTTTCAAAAGTCTTTTCTTCTCCGCTTTCGCTTGTGGCTCGTAATATTTGAGGAAAATCCTCCAGCCACCACTCGGGCTCCCGTCCGACACAATTTCCGACAGAATCGGCATGTACGAGATTGACGTGATTAGCACATTCCATGCCACTATAGCCTTGGCTACCTTTTGTTCGCCATACTCAGTCTTCAGGTCAGTCATACTGATCCCCTGCCTCCCTACTGGGATGTCTTGGTTGCTCATCACTACTTCGTGAACATCCTCCTGCGCAAAGCGTGCTACCATGCTCGATCGAAAAATCAAAAGCTTCTGCTGCCTACTGTCCCCCGACTTAAACACACCATCCCAAGGCTCAATTCTTCTACTCTCAGTCATACGAAGAGTTGCGGGGTGAGACACTGCACCGATATCCCCTGAGGTTTGGAGGCGACCGGCCATGGCAGTCGCAATCGCGTCGGCCAGCTCGTCTGCGGAGGGGTTGGGTGTTGGGCGCCCAGGATCTTGCTGGTGTGCTGCCTCTTGTTCCTCATTTCCTCCCCGCTGCTGCTCGGCTCGATGCCGCACCTCCATCTCGGCCATCTTCTTGGCCAGTTTCTCCTCCATCAGCTGCTCCATCCGAGCTGCTACTCGCTCGTTGACCAGTTCTTCGATCCTGGCGTCCTCCGCTGCTTGGCGGGCTTCCGCTGCTGGGCGGGATTCATCTTCGCGCCTGGAGGCCATCTTGACCCTGCTGTCGATCGCCGCAAGGCGATGCTCCTAAACCAAGCTCGACCGCGAATCTCGTAGACGACGTGTCATACGCTAGCGTGATCGACAATTCGGGTGGCTCGGTTCTTTGTGGTTGGAGCTCAAAGCGGGTGGCTCATGGCGGAGCGTGGATGGGTAGGAAACGTGTTGAAAACGTAATGCAAAAGTATTGGAAAGTATTGTATTCATCGGGGGCGTGCCAGTGCTCGTCAAACCTTCACGGTATCTGGGCACGCCTTCACTCTTTGTCACTCAACGAATCTCTCTGAATCTCCACCAAATACCTCTCGCAACCAAGGAATATATGTAGAAAGTTCCTATCCCTCCGCATCTCATCACTGTTACTTTCGTACGTACGTACCGGACATCTCAACCGTCATACTATGCTACGAGTACTCCCAATATATCTAATAGTCGTGCACTTTTTCTCGGAACGGTGAAAAGAAACCCCGACTTTTTTTCGCTTGTTCTATTCGTGATGTCATCACAAAAGTACGTTTCCTTCCCCTGAATACACGCTTTGCTCGGCACACAACAGGTGACAGGTTGACATTATGGAATAATAAAAGGTTGACATGGTATTGCTCACCATAGAGCAGCCGTAAAAGCGCAATAAGCAGCACCCGACACAGAGGACAACACACTTAGAAAGATCCCGTCCACCCGGCCTGCTGTTTTCAGTTTTCAGCAACAACAGGCGCAGGGCAGAGTGTCGCAACCTGGGTGTTGCTTGCGATTTCTTCAGTTTGCCAGCTCATTTTTCACGGTTGCGACTCCCATCTTTGACCACCACCTGCCCAAAGGTAGACGAGCTGAACAATCATAGGGCGGCAGCCGCGCTGACGGCCAGCATCATATAGATGGCCAATCCGAAAAAATTAGCGTGTCGGAGGCCCTGTTGCTCTACTGCTGCGTGGTGCCTTGGATTGATGCTGATGTGTCCGACCAAAAACAGATAATCTCGCCGCATTTTTTCCAACGGCATGTTGGTGAGGTGGCACACGTCTCTCACACACCTTATTGAGCAACACCCAAGCACACAATACCCACGAAGCAGCACGGCGCCGGGAGATGGCATCATAGACAGCCGACCCGAAGGAATCAGCGCGTTGGAGGTCTTGGTGCTGCTGCTGTACTCGTTCTAGTGTTTCCGTGTTTTGCTATGTGTGACTGAAAAAAATTCTCCGGCACCAACAGCAGCAGTTGAAAACGAGAGCACCACGCAATGTCTCGTTTTGGACCAAGAACGGACTGAACGCCGCTTCTGCCGCTTGTCCATCTCCACAACAGACCTGGACGTGAGTCTGGCGGGTCTTTCTAGCGTCCTCAGTGATGTTACAGCACCCGCGGTGCACTTGTCCGATGCTTCTGTCAAAAACACGGATCCGTGGAAGTAGCAAGCCCCAAGAAATGTCGGCTCCTTCTTTCCACGTTTTCGGGGAAAACGCCTCCATACATATGTTCAAGAAACACGCTTCCGTGAAATATTCCGTGTTTTTTTTGTCGTTAATAATATCTTCCGGATTGTATATTTTTTTCGACCCTCCTCCTGCATTGTGTGCGGTGTGTATTTTGTAGAGTAAAAAAAGGCCGAAATCAGGAAGAAAATCCGTTTGTGAAATCCAATTTGATTTTGGATTCTGGATGGAGCATTTGTTTGACAAGGGCCGCCCTCATGGCCGAGGTCGATGTCCAAACCCCACGAACCACGTTAGAGGTGTTCCCCACATGAATAACCGGGACGGCAGACACACAGGCACAAGCCCACACACCCCCGCGCTGGTGCTGCTCTATCCGGCGTCTTCCTTCGGCAGCGGCAGTATGTACCGGGGGCTACCCTGCCGCAGCGAGACAGTTAGTTACAGCAGTGTATAATAGCAGAAAACACTCAACGACGGAAGAGGCCGGCCACAACGTGCTCTTGATTATTGTCCTGTAGAGGCTGCCGACTTCGCCCTGCTTCTATTTTCCGCTGCTGGTGCTGTGATCAGACCGCACCCATTCGAAACCCCTCTAGCGATAGCGCCACGTTTGGCGCACTGCGGTAGACTTGCACTGTTACGGGCTCAGCGTGGTATTTGTTTACTCGTTCATGGCCATCTTCGGTGGTGTCCAAACCACGCGAACGACTTGATTGAGAGGTGTTGTTCTCGGCGTGTCCTTGGCCATGCTATCTTGTTTGCTGCCATCAGCTTGTTGTCCTGAAGACCGCATGAAGCGGAACAACAAGCTGAAGGAGGAGGAGGATAGGAGTAGGCACCGCGCATCTGATACTACTACTTGGCCCTGCCCGGTCGCCTGACTGGCTTCCCTCCCTCGCTGTACCTTGACACCTTCACCCCGCCGGTCCTACACGCGCCGCCGTATCGCCTCAGGTCAGATCGGCCGTCGCCCATGATGAGGTTGTGATATCCTTGGTGCCTTTCCTTCTGGCGCTGTCTCTCCACGAGGAGGATGCCAGCACTACTAGCCGTAGGAAAAACGCCGCCGCGAGATGAAGATGAAGGGACCCCCCCCCCCCCCCTACCCCTCCGGATCGAACCGGGGCGCGGCTCCTAGCGGTGTATGAGGAACGAATCAAATGGAGAAGTTGAGTTTTCCGTCGGCTGCCTTTGTACGCGGCGCCAGAGCCCATCTATGTATGCAATAGATACCCTGTCGTATTGCCGGGTACAGCAGCAGTGGTCTGAATGGCGTGTGTTCGCGTGTGCAGAGGGTCGACAGCAGCAGCGCGTTCTTTTCGACAAAGCACAACAAGCCGACAACGAAAATCAGCCAAGTGTCTACCGGAGGTATGATCATCGTTGAGGCGTTCTTGTTTGTCTGGTGTTGGGATGCCCTTGTGTGCGTGGGCTGGTCTGTTGTAGTAGTGGAGTATCAATAGGGAATCTTTTCTGTAACGGCTGTGCGTTGCAAATCATCAGCGTTTGGTGGGTCTGTTGTTTGGGTGTCCTCGCGTGAAAGGGCTGGTCGTTAGTACGGTGTGTCAAGAGGGTAGATTGCTGTAACGGCCGTGCATTGCGTGCAAGCTCGGGGACACCTAGAGACCACGCTCTATGCCGACGAACCCGACAATAGACCCGGCCTTTCTTCTGGTTGGCTGCCTGGATGGATATTTCGTCCTTTTGTTGGTGGTGCAGCCATGCACGACTCTGTCGGAATTGCCGTCACCATTCTCGGTGTTGGATAGTTGTGCCATGGTGGATCTTGTGGGTTAGGCAGGTGTGCCATTGTTACTAGTGTTTGTTGCGCAGAGAAACGCATTGATTGGTAATGTGATACGTGTGCATGTTTTTTGTGTTGCGTAGGGTATCCAGGTGTGTTCTTTTCGTGGAAGGTATATGTGTAGAAAAAGAACGAACAGGTCGCCTTGTCGTTCTCGTCGTCGTACAGGAGTACAAATGCGTTATGTATGATTTTTGTCCTAGGGTTCCCTCACTGCTGTCAATTCGGGAGAGCATTGAATGTGATTTCCCAGGTGTGCCCTTAGATTTGCTAGGTTCGGTATCCTAGGCGTGACCGTTGTTCTGTATAGCGCGCGGTGTCCTTCCGTTAGCCGGGTTGGGGGTGCATCGCGGAGAGCGTGTGATCTTTGTCGGAAAGAAGAAGCATCGTATGGCAGCTGGCTGAAAATGGTGAGGTTGGTCTATCTTGTGATTGGCAATGACATCTTGAACGCGAGTGAGACGATACAGCAGTAGTACGTTTCAAAAAATAGAGAAACAACTTGGCAAACGTCCAAATTACGGCTGTTTGTTGTTACCGGGGTCTCCTTGTAAGTCAGTCTACCCGAGGCAGCACCCCACGATGATGGACAATCGAGCACTTGTTTAGAACATAACTACAGTAGCGTTGGATCAAAGACTGATTCGCAGATACGGGGCGAATAGAGAGAGCGTGATGGAGTACGTGAAATTCAGCAGGAACGCCGCACATCAGTTTTACACGCAGACCCAGCTGAATCTCGACTCCACCTGCCGTTTTTCCTTCGGCAGGGCAAATCCTGGCGAACGCCCGCCCCTCTAGCTCTTCTGTTCCTTCATGTTTTATTTTATGCGGCCGTCTTCCTTGCAGGGAGGGCCGAGGGTCTAGAGTCGACTGTTCTCGAGGTCGGGCAGTGCATTTCGTGGAACAATTGCTACCAATAACCTTTCAGATCGGAGGGATCGGTCATGAGTAATGAAAAGAGACAACATCCCAGCGCACGCTATTGTAAATAGGGAGAACTGCAATGACTTTTTACCCACAAACTACCCTGCGATCGTCACGAATCAGGTGCGAGGTGCACTATTGTCGATCTTCTATGAGCATGAGCACCAAAAGCATTTACAGCAGTAGTACATACGTGAAAATGTTTCGATCGGATGGGGAAGGGAGACTCGTACAGTAAGATCCTTACGCCACTGACTGTGGGTATATCTCGAACGGGTACCATCGTCTTTCTGTGTGTGTAAAATCGTAAAATCCTCGCGCAATGAGAGTCTGTCTACAAGAACGGGATTTATTTGAATATGCTTGTAGCATGCAGTTTTCTCCTATCGAGCGGTTTTCAATATGTACGAGTCGTGAGGATCTACAGAAATGCGCCGATAGCCCGTCCCGCTTCGTGCACGGACGGCGGTTCATGGATGTGAGGAAAATGAATGAACGAAAGACTGCCGAGAGAACACACGAACACACGCCACACGCAACACGGACCCAGATAAGGAATCCCCCACGGAACCAAAAAAAAAAAAAAACTTGGTTCCGCCGCCTCTTTGCTCTTTGCGCACCGGAGGACCGGAGGTCCGGCGGTGATCACACTTCACACGGTGCTGCACGTTGCGCGTGCCAGTCTCCATGCTGCCAGGGGATATTCATTTCGCTGCAGTTTGGCCGGCGGCCCCCGACGGGGCAGCACGGAAGGTGAAAGCATGCCGGTTGTAGAATGCACTTGGGGCGGGAGGTTTTCCGAGGTTCCACCGCTCACTAATGATGGCGATATCATGCATCCAACGCCGACACTCTAGATGGCTGAGCAAGACTAGCATCGTCTGTGTACGCCGCTCGAACCGGCCTCGCTCATCCTCGTGTCTTCATCCTCTCCAAACCTCTGTTTTCAGGTAATCGTCCCGTTGCAATGTTCGTTAGCTGAGGCATCAAGGACAGTCGGGAACTTGGTCGGTCTGCCGCGGAAGCAGCCTCCTACACCTGGAGCAAGCAAGATCGAGACGTTGGCGCTGGGTGAGCTCGCCCGCTGTCGAGGAGTCCATGCGCTTGCTACATATGTTACCCGCTTGGTGTCTCGACGGTAGAGACTGTGCGCGCCGGAACAAAGAAAGTAACAGACGGTACACAGGTGTGCCGTTTGTTGCACACGTTAGATACCACACCCCTTGGACCGATTTTCAAAGATCGTTTACATGTACATTCGTATGCATACTCCACCAAGGAAGATGCCCACAGCTTGTAGTCAATTGATGAACTCTATCGGAAAAGCTCATGGCGAATGTGTTTCCATCACCGAGATTGTTTGTGCTGCGGGGCTGCGGAGTACTCGAGCTTTGAAAATCAGTCCCAAGGGGTGTGGTATCTTATGCAACCTACGCGGCAAACCGCAAATACCACTGCGCTGCGGTCGTCACACACGTGAAATGACTCTAAACTAAATGTAGTCTAGGGACGTACATATGGCATACGTAGATATCCCATAGACCATGTATTTTGTACTAGCAAACGCAGCCAGAGGGAAGGGACTGCTGAACCCTTCTCGCGTTCATCGAAGGCGAACAGGTCGGGCTTGTGGATGCAGCTTGTGAACACGGCACCGATACGAACCGCACGGATTCTTGCCGAAGGTGACAAGCCTACACACACTCGCCCCCCGACGTGTCGCCTTTGGTAGGTGCCATTATACCCGTCGCAGCATGTTTCGGGCCGCAGCAAAGGTAGGCTCTTTACTTGTACTTTCTTGCGAGACGGAGGGATATGCTGCGAACTGAACTACAACTGAGTGGGAAGCCTGACTGAAAAATTTCAAAACAGTTTTCTATTACCCGCTTCCTGCTTGATGACATCGCATGACTTGCGCCCAGGGCCCTTTTGCGTGTTCAGCACTTCAACTTCTACACCGCCAGCTCTGGTCGTGGTGGGGACCAAGAGCTGGGGCTGCTCTCCCGGCGTCTTTGCTTTCCTAAGACGCGTCCAGACAGACCTCGCAAGGTATCTACGTTTGTATGCAAGGGCTCGGCGATCTATCAAAACACAGATAGGGCCTGCACTTAAAAACCTCCAGTTCTGCCAAGGATGAGAACCTAGGGCTACCCTACAAATGGCCGCTACATAGATTTTTGTGCAGGGGATCTCAACCGGGCTCACAAAACGGGCTCAAGTTCCTAGACTTGAGTTTTTTTTCGAGGCTCAATTTCCTGATTCCCTAGGTCTTGAGTGCGGGCGCAAAAACTGTAGCCCCATTGACAGTTGTACACCATCGAAACCCAAGACAAGAACGAGCGAGGAGGGTGGAAGGGGCGTTTTGCTGGATAGCCACAGGCGCAGCTACTCTAAATCCAAGTGGTTTGGTATGCGAGAGAGAATCGTTCTGTATTCTGAACACGTTCCGCGTAAAACACCGCGTATTTTGCTGTCATGCGGCTAGAATAATCCATGCTGAAACCACCAGAGGCGGACTATTCCAATCGAAGTTGCTTCGATCGAGAAGCGTGCTCCGCGTCAGTCTGCTGCGTCCGATGTTCATGGAGGATGTTGTCGGATTCGTCGAAGCTTGCCAGGCCTTCCATAGTCGGGAGAGCATATCGACCCCTTACGAGCAGGCAAACAACACCCAGCCGACCCTCACATGCCCTGTTGTCCTCCGCTCTTAAGTTGTCGAAACTGCTGATACACGTTGCTGCGGATACAACCACGAAAGTGACCCGTGCTACATAGCGAACGATACTTCTACAACATCTCCACACCCTACAACATCTCCACACCCTGTACAACTTTAACTAATAACTACCTAAAGTTAGTTGTTTGCCAGACAACTACCGGCTAGTTGTTCGTAAACACCTAGTTGCGCACGCTCCTAGAAGAGTAGTTGTCTACAGGCCACTAGGTGCGCACATATCTGAACCAGTAGTTGTCTGCAGGCAACTAGGTGCGCACGCTCCTGGAAGAGTAGTTGTCTGCAGGCAACTAGGTGCACACAATTCTGGAAGAGTAGTTGTCTGCAGGAAACTAGGTGCGCACGCTCCTGGAAGAGTAGTTGTCTGCAGGCAACTAGGTGCACACGATTCTGAAAGAGTAGTTGTCCGCAGGCAACTAGGTGCGCACGATTCTGGAAGAGTAGCTGTCTGCAGGCAACTAGGTGCGCACGCTCCTGGAAAAATAGTTGTCTGGCAAACAACTACCAACTAAAGTAGTTGTACAGGGTGTGAACATCTCATGATCTGTCTCACAATTCAACTCGAGAGAATCGGGCTGAATTCTCGATACTGAAGACGCAGCGCCGCACGGAAGAACACTTCCCTGCCGAATAGGTTGCGACGTATTGGCGTGGGTTTTGGGGTTGGATGCGACAGGTGGTGCCATTGCCCCGTTTATCTCACCTCTGTGGCCAAGCATGGCTTTTGGCGGGGCGATGTGCGTGTGTATTTTTACCGTAGGTAACGAGTTACGAGATACCTGGTAGTTGCTAACCATTTTCCGTCGCCCCGGAAACCGATCTAATCGTGCTATTAACTGCAGGGACCCCTCAGACTTTGGTTTTTGGCAGCTACGGCATCTTGCTTCGCGCGTGGAGGCGTCCTTGCACCCTGCCGGGGACGATGCAAGCTACGCCATGCCCCCCCGTCTCTTTGAGGGGCGCAACTGGGATGACGAAGAGAGCGAGTCGTGGGAGGATGAGTACATGTGGTCTGATGAGACCGTGGATAATGACGGCTTGACCGGGGCGACGGCGGTACCAGACGACGCAAGAGACATGTCGCCGGTACCTGTCTCTGAGCCTCTGAGGTGAAAAGGATGTTCCACTGCAAGAGCAGCAGTGATTTCCACTTCGGAGCATTTATGGCTTGAGTCCACAGCCCGCAACCATTAGACCCCGACATTGACAGTCGGACATCCCTTGTGTTCTGGACGTCGGGTTTTCTCACCTCCATCCTGCGGAGTACTTCGTTGTACACCGCCCGCCGTGACTCTCAAATGTGTTTTTGTCTCCAACTTGTAACGTTCTCTCCTTGCTCGTTTTCCCCAGGAGCGATGGTGTTTCAATGGCCCTGTCGCCGTTGACTGTTTCACAACCAGACGACGCAAACGCCCGCACGGGTGCCACGAAAACCGAACACACCACCGGCCAAGCAGACGAGGGTATTCCCCTCAACAAAATGGTTTTCGACGGTCTGCCGCCGAAGGCGCCACATCGTCCAACCAAGCCAATGACGACGGACCAGCGGACGCAGCAGCCATCTGGCCCCGGGTTCGGATCGCCAGTGGTTGACCGAAGACCATCTCCTGTCGGTGATCGCGGGAGCCCTCTCCTGATCCCCGCGGAGCAAGCACCTGCGCTCGCAACGGCGCAACCAGCGAGCCCAAACTTGGACGCGGATAAGCTGCTACCTCCGTCGGCGAAGGGGGCGGGGTTTTCACCTTTGCGCAGTGACGGCGAGTCGTCAAGCGCAACACCGGACGAGGTCTCGGGGTTGCAAGCGGTATCAGCTATAGATTTGTCTGCGCTAACCACATCTTCGATGAAAGGGCGGTTCAATGCTCCTGTGGGTGATCAACCATCCACCGTGGTTGGTCCAGCGGCCGTTGTTAAGGAAACAGTCGATGGAGCGCGAACTGGTGTTCCCGGAGGGGAAACTGGCATACAGCCGGCAGCGGAACCGCATGCAATCAGCCCTCAAGTTGATGCCCTTGCCGCTGCAGCAACTGGTACCACAGCGGACCTTCAAGACAGGGTAGGTGACGCAGGACCGGAAACAGAACCCGACAACGCTACGGTTTCGGCAGCAGTGAGCGAAGACTTGGCGTACGTCCACCGGGGTCCGGACCTCCAGAGTTACGGGATCACGGGGTCCGTTCTCGTGGCTGCCTCATGCGGGGCCCGCGCGCAGGTGCGAGTCACCGACAAGCAAGGGCACATCGCAACCGCAACGGCATACCCTAATGTCGCCGAGGAAAAACCCGCGATGGCCATCCCGTCCACAAGAGAGTACTTGTGCAAACCAGGAGCGGTACAGCACGGCGGAGCGCCCCCCAGGTTCCTTCCGGCGCTTATGTACCGTTGTTCCCCGGCCGTGAAGGTTCTCCCGGTCAGAGTCACGTGCCGGTTACGAACCGCTGGTAACCGTGTGCTTGTTTGGGTGCAGGTCATCGCCAACCCGCAGCTTTCGCATCCTCTCAGCGGTGTATTGGTGCTGGTCAACCTACCGTTTTCGCCCCGCGATGAGGTGAGAGGTTTTGCGTCGTGGTTTCCGTAGCATGGATTTCTGCCCAGCGCCGTGCACGGTTGGACAGGGCCCTCAACAGTCATGAGCCATTTGGCTGTTTCTTGGCGTGAGTCCTTCCGTTCGGGTGACATACAGTACTCTGCGATATGTTCCGACTGGATCGTCGATAGCAAAGCGCTCCGTCGCCAGTATTGACGTTGCCTCACATGTCCAAGGAAGTTCCAATGCTTCGATATTATACCGTCCGAAGGCAAACCCTCGAATGTATCCTTTCAGAAAATAGGAGCGTAGTCGGCCGATGCGGTTCTCTCTGGTTGCGTATGTATACCTCGTGGAAGACTCCGCACCTCGCGTGTCATTTCCGCTTCCGGCATACCGGGGCATCCGGCACCGAACATCAGCACAGGATTCATCTGAGAAAACAGGAATCTCAGCGCCTATCGACGAGAAATCGTGTTCAATGACCGGGGGTTGTTGGCAAGCCTTCTGCTTGTCTCTACACTTGAGGTGGCGTACGGCGAAACCGCCCGCAATTCCCTTACTACTGAGGAAGTGCAACCAGATGAACCAAGTGCTTGTTCGCTCCCATCTGCACACGGCGGCGTACAGGGCGACGTCAAGTCTGAGCCGCCGGCGTCCCTGAAGATGGATCGCAAGATGTTGGAGTGGGTGCTACCTTCGGGTATGCAACGGGGTGGCAAGCAAGTCTTGCAAGCACGGCTGAGCGCAGACGAGGGGCAAGTGCGAGTTGCAGCCATCCCCCAAACCGCCCCAGCGATGGTCAAGTGCCACTTGCTGGATTCTACGTTCTCGTCGGTTGAACTAGAGGTGGCGGCGTTGGCGGAGGAAGGCGTGGCGCCAGCCGGTGGAAGCGTCGTGAAACGGTGTCGGGTGCAGTGCAAGCAGGTGTAACCAATGTTTTGGCCTTGTTTTGTGTGGAATCAAGTTTGTTGGATCGAGGGATAGAAAATACGTCGAACAGGGTACGAACCTGGATGCTGGTCGAGTGATGATGCACCATGACCGGTCCGTCAGTGTGAAGTAGAACGTTAAGATTTTGGCTGACACTGGTGTTCGTGTGTACAGGAACGCACCGTAGTTATTCCCTTTTGACGGAGCGTGGCTGATGCATCACGCTGCGACCAGGCTCCGCAAACAGTTGCTAGTCTTGCCTTGGTTGTAGGCATAACAACGGCGTTCCTCGTCATGAACAAAATTTCTTCGGTGTAGATGACACGATGCTTCTCCTCGAAACGCGCATTTTTAGTGCGAATACAGCTTTCGTGCGAACACAGCAGCAACAAAATCTCTTGTACGTACTAGCACATCCGGCAAACACTCTAACAATTACCGGATCGCAAAAAACAGCAGACAGCGGGTACACGCAAACGTTTCGTGGGGAAACCAACAAAGGAATTACTACACTACTGTAGAGATATTTCAAATGCATCTATGCACTTTGTTTTTAATTTCGGTTCTGTTTTGCACCCTCCTCTCTCACGATCAGCCAAGCTCTCTTTCGCGGCGGGAAGAAAGCAATAGAGGTGCGGCTTCAGGCGACGCTGGGGGCAATCCCTGGGCTAGTATATACAACGGAAACAGGGCACGATAACAAATCGCCTACAAGCGAGGCGTCCTTGGACATCTCCGGCCGAGCAGGGTAAAATATATCTAGTGCGGCGCGCGCGCAATCAAATAACCAGTGATCCCAGATCATCTACAACCGAAGAGTCCCCCGACGCGTCCGGCTCTGCAGGAGCATCAATTTGTCCGCGGGCTATCGCAGCGTCTTTCTTGCGGCAGCACTTCTTGTACTTGAGGCCCGAGCCACACGGGCAGTCCGAAGCTCTCGCGACCTTCTTGGCCGCCTTTTCGCTCTTCTTCGCGACGCCTCCACCCCTGCCCTTCCCTTCGCCGGGTCGCCCGTTCTCCTGCGGTTTCTCGCCGGAGTCCCCACCATCTTCTAGCTTCCCCGTCCCCTTCTTGTCTCCCGCCGTGTTGTCGACACCTTCCTCAAGGCCAGGCTCGTTTCGAGCGGCGATTAGGAGCTCTATTGCGTCGTCGCCTCTTCCTCCGGTGGTTTCCAAGGCCGCCACGATATTCGGTGGGGATGCCCACGGGCAGCTTCGAGCCACAGCCGCTTCCTCCTCAGGCCATGGGCTTTCTGCGCCGCAAAAGAAGATATACGGGAGATGACAAGGTCAAGCAGGGAGGGAAGGAAACTAAAGAAAAAGAAGGAAACCCCATGAACCAACATTGGCATCTCCTTGTCCCGATTTCTCCATGTAGGGGGCGATACACCTCGTCCGCTTGTTACAGTCCGCATGGTAGTCGTCTTTCAGTGTCAACGCGAACATACGCTCGCTGGATTGGAGGAAAGATAGACGGCGACGATCGCTCGCATTCCGCGGAGCTCCTGTTTTAGACGCCCTCAGACTGGGAACCTCCCGCATGGACAGCTTGGGCGGTGGGCGGCGCAAATGGACTTCTTACGCGCCACAACTCGGTGCACACCGTTGCCCACCGCTATTTACAACACCCGCTGGCTTTCTAAAATGACCGACGAAGCACTCGGTATTGAGCTAACCCTGCTGGGAACAGACAAAAAGAGAGGCGCAGCAGAAAAGCGCCTCACAGGCGGCTGCGTGCAGTTTTTCTCTCGGCTTTACGTGTCCCTTCGCCGAAAAGAACATGGTTTTCCAGAACAACCAGATCCGGCGATTGATATTATTGCTTTCTGGCGATCTCGAACATTCTTGGCGTACGCAGGGGGAAAGGTGGCGCACAACCATAAACAAAACATGAAAAAAGCTCCTGTGTGTGCGTCTCTTGTATGACCCCCGCTGATACGCAAGATGTACACCGAAGGGCCTGGAGACTGGCGCCAGAATACATTGATGGGACGCACACACACATACACACTGTCTTTGATCCGAAGGATAGTTTAGCCTCCCCCATGCTGCCCCCTCACGGGGTCCCAGTTCATGGCAGATAGAAGAGTTTGTGTTTTCAACCGCATCAAGACTGACGTCTTTTCATTGGTCAGCCGGTTAGCGCGGTCGATGCTAATAATGAAAACACACACACACCGACGTTTCTACTTCTTCTGCGGTCATCTTCACCTCTTTTGTGCGAGCCTCCTTTCGATGTCGGAGTCTGGAGGGTTATCGGCAGCGCAGGCCCATTGGCTTCGTCTCCTATTGCCCTAACGCTATTGTAGTGGTGCTCCCCGTGGTAGCTCAAGTGGATTGTCCGTCTGGCCTTCTCGCACGGGATGAAAAATCTAGGTGCCTTGAACTGGTGCACAACGACATTGGTCTGCTCGAGCGTGCAACAGGGAGGGTCACAGCAGATATCAGGCCGTAGTGACACAGGTAGCGACAGCTAGTTGCTTGCCCGTGCACGGTCGCAGTCGTTCAGAACGACTGCAAAACGCGCACCGCGGATCTTAACCCGTGCAGAGACATGTGCAAGGAGCTGTGGAGCAACTTACGAGGAGACAACACTCACACGCCGAGCAGGATCTCGAAAAGCATTGATAGCTGCAACAACACCCAACCACCGGTTGGGCACGAACCGAGTCATATCCCGCGCGAGGTGCAGCACCTCGGCAAACAAACGCAACGCACCTTGTACAGCTGACTCGCGGCCACGAGTTCCTGGTTCCCCCCCCACTCTGCCTCCCCTCGCATGCGCTCCAGGTAGTCGCCGAAAGTCTCGTCGTCTTCCATGTAGGGCTCGAAAACTTCTCTGTTTCTCTGTAGGTGATCCATAACCTGTTGCCGCGGCACAACAATAACAAGTTTGTACAGCCAATGAGAATCCTGACACTTTGTCGAAAACTGCGCCATTGGGACATACGCAGACAAGCACCAGAGTGCTGCAGGACAGTGCAACAAAACATTGATGGAAGAGGAGCAGAACAGAAACAACAGAGCGCCATGCTGGTATCCAGTACAACAGCAGTATGTAGTTCACTCGAACAATAGCAATGATGCAAGAAACGTTGTTTCGGAAGGCATGGGCGAAAAGGTTACCGTATATGACACAAGATAACACACCCCCTGGACCGATTTTCAAAGCTCGATTTTTCAACAGCAGCAACAGTCGCAGGGGCGAAAACGGCGGCGTTGAAGCCGTCTGGTCGACAGCTCTCTGAAAATGTATCCTTTCATCCATGCATCCTCTTCGTCGTGAAGTACTCGAGTTCTGAAAATCGGTCCAGGGGGTGTGTTATCTTGTGTCATATACGGTAGTCAAATAGGTACACGTGGGTGCTGGTTGGTGTGTCACGGGATATAAGTTCCTCCACTACTTTCCTGTACCCAAGAGAAAACTGGTAGCATGGTTTGGTGTGTGATGGGCGCAAAGTCTCTCCACTACTGTAGTTTTCTACCGAAGACATGATTGTTAGTGCTGTTTGGTGTGATGGGCGTAAGCCCGTCCACTATCTATTTTAGATTCCTACGGAAGAGGTTAGCTTAGGTGCTGTTTGGTGATCGGCGCCAGTAAGCCTCTCCACTATTATAGCTTCCTACCTTCGCTCGGACGGAGGAATGATCCTCCGACCGACCTTCCAGTTGGTCCGCGAGGCTCCTGAAGAGGCAGTTGCCGTCTCCTTGGATAAACTTGATCTTGCACCCGATCTGCTCGACCTGCCGCGGCACAAGCGAGGAGCTTGTAAGGTCAGGCGGGAAGGACCCAGCTGTCGCGCAACATGCTTCCATAACGTTTAACAACCACGGCCCGCACAAAAAGGGCAACCTCGTTGGAACAAGGTGTACTTCCTCCTGGTGAGCGTCACATGTTCACAAACCTCAAGCATGACGGGCAGTATTTGCCGATAATGTAGATAAAGTTGGAGGTGCACCCTAGCTTGGAGGTAAGCGCGGAGACGAGGCGCGATGGGCGCACCACCATCAACGCGATACGGCCATGTGTGTGTGTCTTTATTACTAGCATCGACAGCGCTAACAGGCTGACCAATCAAAGACGTCAGTCTCAGTGCGGCTGAAAACGGGGTGCACTGTGTGTGCGTCGGCACACACCAGGCTCATCGCTCCTCTGCTTGGCGGAACGGCCGGTGTTTCCCCCTCTCTTGCCGTGTCGACCAAGCGCATGTGTCATACTTCAATCCGGGGAAACAATCGAGGGGCCACGTGCCTAACCAATTATACCAATCGTATTTCAAGCAACGACAAAAAGCGTGTCGCATGCCATCTCATCAGCCCCTTCCAAAGGCAGGGAGAGGCATGCACGGGGTGCTTGTCAAATTCGGTCCAACTTGCTGCTGCTACTGCAGGGGCTGATGCTGTTTCGCCGCAGCGCAAGACTCCTCTTTGGTAGTCGTCTGCCTCGCGTCCGTGAACCTGCGGGCCTGTTTGGCTTCGGGGATCTGTTTACCTTCTATCTGAAGTGCTGCTGTGCTAGTGGATTATCTCGAATGTTCCTTATCGCGGCTGCAGGGGCTGTGCAGGGTTGAGGACAGGACCGCGCCCTGAAGCTAGAACTTAGTGTTTTCAATCCTTGTATGATGTGCCCCCTCCTGAGTAACACATTTTCCCAGCCGTGTCATGCATTTTTTTTTGTGCGTATCAGAGAGGTATTTTTCCCAGGCTTGTCTACCATCAAGTCCGGGATAGATGAGCATGAAACTCATAGTGTTGCTGTGTGATGACCACTGTTGCCCGAGCAGCATGTAGCGATATCTCCCCCGAGGGTACAAGATAGTTCGACAGCCATCTTGGCAGTAGACAAAGTGTCACTCGATTCCCCGCCTTTTCTCCGCTTCCCCCGCGTTCGCGTTTCGCTCATCCCATCAAGTACATGTCTGCCCATCTTGTCGTCCTATTCCATCCCAAGGCACCATCCCACGGCACCATCCCACGGCAAACTGACGGAACCACATTATTGCTTGCCATATGTCGGGAAGCAAGAAGCGGGGAGTCCAACCCGTATCCGCTAGATAGCAGCTAGCTTACATACAGGGGGGTGCAACTGCCGTGGTGTGAATTCGCTTTACTCGGGCGCAAAAAAACAACGAAAACGCAGCCCCACAGCAGCACACCATCATCCTCGATATGCGGATCGTTGGAAATCCGAGGCATTTCTATTCGGCGTGATCGCTGCAGCGGCAGACGACAGGGCCAGGTTTCTCTCGTCGTGCTGCTGTCTTTCGATCACATGGGAGCTGTGTCATGTGCCCCAAACTACTGCTGCACGGCTGTAACTCACGAAAAATATTGATTGCACATGTCATCCCTTGCTGCAACAACAGCAGTCAGTCGCGATGAGGCAACGCACTTTATACGCCAGGAGAGGGTATGTACATCGGATACAGGTTGAGAGGCTCGGGGGAAGTATCATGAAGGCACGGGGTACAATCAAGTCTGCTGTGTCGGCGCAGAAGCCCGTGCTGCTGGGTGGGTTCCGCCCTTCGGGAACAATAAAAAATACCGCTGTTCCAAACACCACAGCAACAGGGTTGATGTCGACTCCTAGAGCGCTCTTGCCCGCATGGTGTGTACACGTGTGTACGTCCAGACTGGTTGTTTGGTAAACATGCAAACGCGAGATGGGCCGGTAATGCATGCAAATGGGCCTCAAAGAAACCAGAGAGCGCGGCAATCGCACATCGCGCACAAGATCAACAACAGCAAACATAGGTTTTGTGCGGTCGATTGGGTATGTATGTACGATAGGAGCCAACCAGAAGGGCGCGGAGAATCTGCGTCGCAGATTCAACTATCTGTGTGCATACCTGAGCCTCGAAATCTCGATCGTCGGCGCTCGACGAGTACAGCGAGTTCCGCATCCGGTCCTTCCTCAGCCTGGCCCTTTCGTTCCTCTCCTTCGCCTTGTCCGCTTGCTGGCCGGCGGCACTCCCTCTCTGCTTCCCATGCTTCCCCATCGGCCACCATCTACTACGATAATAGCTGTCCCCGTCCCGATCGCTAGACGACGATGATGCTGCCGCTGCTGCCGCCGTACCTTGCGCGAGAGCCAACGCCTTGCTTAAAAACACGGTTCCACCCGGTCTGCACGCTCTCGCGTGCAGCAGCCTGCTACTGAAGTGTGGTGGCCTTTTTGTGCTGTCATGCGATGGTGGTGCTGTGTTGGTGTGCCGTCGATGCGATGGTGAAATTGGTGTGAGGTCTGTCGACGTTAACTGTAGGGGCTCTGTGGTTGGGAGGTCAAATGGGTATGTACGTGCGGCGGATCTTTAGAGTGTTGGCACGACCGCGCCAATCAGCCGAAGAGACCTGAGTTATTAGTGTTCGCTGGACGCGGGATGTAACCTGGCCCGGCACTACACGAGACATCGTTCAGATCGAGTCTACTGCTGTAGGTATATCGGTCATGTGCCGCCTCTCTCTCCCCGAAAATCCAAACAAAGAATTTCCGTTGTCACTATGCATAAGGTTGAGCGGAGAGATCTGAAATAAATGGTGGCTAAATGCAATGACCTGCCACCGGAGGCTGGCTATATTCCGTTGGTGGCATGTGATGGCAAGGAATGAATGCCAAGCGAGATCGAGCGACCTCGCACACGAACAAGTTCCGGATGGCATGCATGTAACTTACAAAAACTATGCATACAACAGTACAGTAGATGCCGCAGTTCTGATAGAGGTGTTGCGGTTCGACCTGCCATTTCCACTAGAGGTAAGCATGCGTTTCCCCGCGGGCTGCACGAAGATGCAATTGCCCCGGTATCGTCTGTGTCAGCTCCGTTCTGGCCACACAAGCGCGGTGAGCAAAATACACCTCTCTTTACCTGTAGGTCCGGGGACGGTCGGTCCTGTCCGTGGTGCACACTACTGCTGTACATAGTACCGTTGCAGAAGACAACACACCTACCCCCTGGGCCGGTTTTCAAAGCTCGATTTCTCGGCAGGAAAAACAGTGACGGCGTTGGAACCGTCTCGTCGAAAGCTTTCCGAAAACGTATGGACATCATTTAAACTTGGCATGCTCTTCGTCGTCAAATAATCGAGCTTTGAAAATCGGTCCAGGGGGTCGTGGTGTCTTATGCACCCCACGGTAGTCTCATCATCTCTCTTTCTCTCTCTCCCTCTCCGGCATGGTCGTCCAACCATGCCCTGTGAGTGATGGTTCCCTTTCGTCTGTCCCGGACGACTCAAAAATGCCAACTAGTCACCATTGTTCTACTCTTATACTTCTACCTTCTACCTTGCAAAAGCTCCAATCGGAAACCAATTTGCGCAAGACGAAATATGTACACGAACGGGAATGAATGTAGCATTCGCCGCTAGACAACCTTTGTCGACTCGCCATGGTGCGCCGCCGCCGCTACTGCTCAACGAGACTTGGGGGCCGGTTAACACCACGCCTTTACCGAGCGAGGCGACCTTGCTTGGAGCGTGTTGCGCCCGCTTCCCTTTATATCCCTAAAAAAAAACCTTTAGAACCATCCGGTACGTAATCTTTTCGAGCTTGCGAGAAAGTTCCTGCCGGGACATCAAAACTGGATGCGCCTCGAGCGCCTTGGATGGCCTCATCCCAAACAGTGTAGAGGGAACGCGCCTTGTATGGGGACGCGACATCCCCGACTACTCACCCTGCGTCGCCGCGGCCACGCAACGAGAACCATGGGCGGGGGTCGCACCACGCCTTTACCGAGCAAGGCGAACTTGCCTCCCGCCGCCGTTTGTGTCCGCTTCCCTTCTTATCCCTCAACCCCCCCCCCCTCTAGAACCACCCGGTACAAATTCTCCTGCGAGCGTGAAAATCATCAGATCTGGATGCGCCTCGAACACCTTGGACGGCCTGATTACCACAGGGAGCGGCCTTTTTCTATGGGAACACACGGGGCGAAACATCAGCCACTTCGCGCCTTGTTGGAGGTGCCGTGCTATCCGATGACGCCCACAGAGCAACAGAGTTGGATGCGTGCAAGTCTTTCGGCGAGGGTCTGGTGTTTTCACCGGAACATCATGCCCACGGCGGTAAATGCCAGAGCCATGCCAACACCTGGGGGGGCACATGCACGAAGCAAGCCAGAGAGGGTGAGCTTGCGTGCGTGCTACGAGTAGACTCGAAGCGTGCAAGCGTATATGTCTGCGCACGTTGGGGTTGGGTCCTCAAACTATTTACCTCACAAATGGATGAAATGGACCGAGAAACGAACGGAAACCATAAAAGCAAGTCGTGCAGGTTGAGTCCGATGGTTGACAATTCAATCCTTGTCGACACCCCCCCTCGACGCGAGGAGGGCCCGATCGGCACAAATTGGTGTGTTCAAGGGGCAACCGTTAATAACGAAAATAATTCGAAGCAAACACCTGCTAAGCACAAGGTACAACGCACGAGTTGTCCGTAGACGTATGCATACGGTTCTCGTCGGTGACGGCTTCGACGAGTTTACCTCACGCATGAGCATCCGTGGGTCTCACCTCCGAAGTGTTCGTAGAGACAATGAATTTCCGATTTTCGGACCTAGACACACATATGTTTCTCGAAATTAAGATGATTGTAAAGGTGGTATAACTCCTGATGTTTCTGATAGTCTCGGCTTGGATGTCCTGCTATCGCACGCAAAACGGTGATGCTGAAAACGGCGTCCTTAGAACTACGATTGGAGTCAACCGAAGCCCGCCGGCGCGTGAAAAGAAAAAAAACGAAAAATGAGCGTATCCTGGTTTTCGCGTAACGCTTCCCTAGGCTCTTAGCTTCAAACCGACGCTTTGCGCCAGATGCTGCCGTACTCGTCACACCGCCACAGGTACAGCAACACGTTCCAGGCACTACAGCAGTAGCACGTGCTTCCTCACCCCACGTCATGGACTGCAGCATGCTGCTCCCGAAGCTCTGCGGCGCGGGGTCTTGCTGAAGAAAGGGCTGGAACTTCGGTGGGGCTGGAGCGCGCTCTTCTTCTCGCACTTCCTCGAGTGCCGTTGAGGCCCGCGGCCGTTGCTGCTCAGGGGGTACCGCAAAATAACCCAGGGGGAGCGGGGGGTGGGGGTACTCATTTGTTGCTTGCCTTGGCCGCTTGACCCTTGACCACACGCATGCATCTCTTACGACGGCGGGCCGTTTCTACTCCAAATTTAGAGCAGGCTCCTCGAACAATCGGGGGGTCTGTATGTCCTTCTGCGTGCTGGTCTTCCATAGTGTGCATGGCTGTTTTTTGCGAATCTTTGCCCGCTCCGAGATACATATATAGGTGGCGGGCGCGGTCAATTAGCAGGACTCTTTGGTGGAAGGCGTCAGCAAAAGGCACTGCTGTTTCTTGTCATCTACACACCGAAGCCATAACTGCTGTGCACGCCCGATCAATAGCACAGATGGAACAACACAGCAGCACTATGGGCTAGCCGTTTTCGCACGAAACAGCAGGGCTCTGCGGTGTGTGGAATGTCTCCGATTCGGAACGCCCCGCTTTCGGTGATCTTATCGGGCCTGCTCAGTTCCCTCGATGCTGTCATAGCTGTGAGAAGCATTCAGTTGTTCCATCATGCACCAATTTCTCGGAGTGACAAAGATTTGTCAAACTTGTCATTTTTCATTCGATGTGTATCACTATCACTATCTCCTACCTGGTGTTTCCGGTCTAGCCTACATAGGCTAATGCGGCGTATCTATGCTTTTTCCAAGCGAGGTAATGCCCTCAGTCCCCCAATATATGTGATTAATCCAGGCGTCCTCCAGTTTTGTTACGCATCGGCATTTTCATTGCTGAAACGCGCTTGCTCTGTAACACTTACACTGACGGCAAGATTTCGACTTGATAAGAGCAACCGTAGAACAGCAGGACACTACGGCCGACCTGCGTATTGTATTCTCGGCGCTGTCCGTGTAGTGTTAGAAATGGGTCCGATGACACCAAACGAGGCCCTAGCAGCGAGACCTGCCTAGCAACATAAGCAGTACACTCGGAACGTGTGGATTATTGGTCTGTACGGCAGTCGTGGTGTCGCTATTTGTGTACTAACGTAGCATACAAACCCATCATCGTGTCTTCGTGTCTGCTTGCTGTACTGCGCTGCTGAGTACCGGGTACCAGCCAGCATACCTTTGCTTTTCTGGGATCTCGGACAATTTTCCTGCCTCTGCTGCTGGTGGCGAGGCGGGCAACTGCTGCGTTCACCGCAGCCCTTGGGCGCGCAGACCTGACAGCATTCATCCTGAGCTCTCTAGTTCCAGAGTGTCCAGCGCAGCTTGTGTGCGTGTCTGTCGGTCGCAGAGGCGGCGGAATTACCCCCCGACCCCCCTGCTGCCGCCCGCCAAAGTTGACAGTCCCGTGACGTTGGCCCTTTCTTGCTCTCCCGGCCCCTGCTGGTACCAAGGCACCCGGTGCTTGTGCGCCCTACTCTATACCCTCCTGCAGGCATGGTGGTGGATCCCTGCGATGAAGACTACGCCTACCTTAGCTTGACGGTAAGCCGATTGTCACCGTTGCGTTAGTCTCAAGACCGCTCCACAACTTGAAGATGAAAACTCGCAAGAGGTCTCACGACTCGTGATCAACCTTGCTACATGCGCTGCCGCTGTTGGCCACTATTCAGGTGGCCCGCTATGCCAAGGAGGATGCACTTGGGAAATACATGGCGCTCCTCACGCTCTCTCCCATGTGAGTGGGTCCATATGCGAGAAGTCTAGGCATGCGGCATGTCGCATCGACTCTTACGCATTGCCTTGTGAACGGAGGATGCCGGTAGTTTTTGCACCCACGTCAACATCGCGCATCTCAAGTACCCATCATACAGCCTCAAGAGTCCGAAAGCCTGAACTGCTTGTCAGTGTGCGAATTGTGGCATTGCTATGGGCCACAAGATTCGAGATTGTCGGGGCATCATCCTGTTGAAGAATTGGACTCAATCTCATCGTCAGATATTAACCGGTATCTTCCAACGGTTGGATGTTTGCCGTGGAGGTACATGTTGTTGTCTAGGAGCTCTGGGCGCCTCCAAGCAGATAGTCTGCGCCCTCAACACCCCGCCGACACTTGAAACCAATACATCTGTTGCACCGTGTACCATTGGGTACACGAGAATCAGTTGCCGCTGATTGTGTTTTGGTGCTGCCTGTTTGTTGTCTATTGTCATACTGCTGTATTTTGTTCCTGTCATATTGGACGGACGCCTTCACAAGCGCCCACGCCAAAGTTGAATCCGAATGGCGACAGCGGGATTGCTGGTGGTCCGGTTACACTCGAAGATCTGCGTGCTTCGCGACCACCTTTGATGTGACCTCCCTTACACTTGGCATATACAATATACATACACGACAAGCACGTTCGCAACCAACGTTCGCATCGATCTTCGCACCGATCTTCCTGCACCTGTCACTACTGCCGTCGTGCCCTTCAGATACCTGGCCGTAGCGTATATGACCCTTGTGGTGGTGCGGCGGGACCTCCAGGTGTTCGTCCTCGCCGTGGGGCATCTGGTAGACCTCGTCGTCAACAAGGCCCTCAAGACTTGGATCGCTGAGGCGAGACCGCCAGGTGCGGCAAGAAGCAGTTGCAGCATTCGCAGGTTTTTTCGTTGAAGTAAAACATGTTGGATAAAGCACGCAACCGGGGAAGTAGGGTCAGGGGTTACGGGGATACGGTCTGCGTACCCCCTTTTCCTGTTCTATTTCCTCGTGAACCGAATTTCTCGCGAAAGCGGTCCGCGGCAAGGCAGCTTTCCGCACTAGGGGCTAACTAGTGCCTGCAGCTATGTGGACGCGACAGCACTTAGGAAACTTGGCAATCAAGAAATTGATGTACACCCTCGAAAATCTCAACATGTCAGAACTTGAGCACCGTTTGTGAACTCGGTAAAGAGCCCCGTGCACTAAAACCTATATGGCGGCCGTTCGTCGCATGACCATACACTGGTTGTTCTGCAGCGCGGGCGCCTACTGTAGCGATGTGGAGGTTGGCAAGAGGCTACCGTTGTAAACTTTGCAACCATGCGTTTTTGGTGAAAGGCTTTCGGCAGCATTGGCGCATCACCTGCTGACTTTCGAGCTGAGGCTACCGTTGTTAACACTATGCAAACATGCGGTTTGATGAACAACCACATTTATTTGCGCATGACACAAGCAAATGGCCTTATGTTTTTCAGGAAAAAATGCTTCGAAAAACAAGCCGATATGCACCCTATGGAAGCAAGCTGCCAAGCATCGGCTTCCCAAACGGCGTTGAGGCCTCAAGACGTGGTTGGTGGAAGTGGCCACACAAGAGAAACTACTGGTTCCAGGTTACGGTAAAAGCATTTCCACGCTGCGAGTGTTCCTTTTTGTCGCGTACAGCGTAAGCTTGTCGGCACGTTTTTTTCACGTTCTCCCTAAATACCCCTCTCCGTCCCCAATCTACACACGTACAGGCTGCATCAACACAGGCCACGGGATGCCTTCGAATCACTCCCAGTACATGTTCTTCTTCGCCAGCTTCGTGTCGCTGTACCTGTGGGGCAGGTGAGACGCGCTTTTTTTCTCGGAAAGACTGGTCTCACTCGTTTCTACGTCTACGACAAACTCGCCGCTACTTGCACTCTGAGGGAAATCAATCCCCTAACGTGTGCCCAAGTTGGTGGGTGTCGCCACGGGTAGTTAATTCGATTTTTTCTTTTGGGGGGCGGGGGGCGGGGGGCGGTACTCACAGCCGTGCACGCCGTGGCCGTTGGACCATTAACCTCGCATCCCTACAAAGCCGGGACGGGACGGGGACGTATTTTGGGGGGTTAAATAGAGATTCTGAGGTGTATGAACAACTACGAAGAATTGTTGTTGTTGTTGTTGTTGTTGTCTTCACATTAAAAACTGTTCCGATCTCTCTCTACCCAGTACCTTCATATGTCCGTACTGATCCAACACTTGACGCGGTCGATTCCCGTGGTCACAGGCTAACTTACCCTAAAAAGGTACGCTCAAACAAACTGGCCCCGACGCAAGTCAATAGAAATCAACGACAGATATATATTCTGGAGTCCTCCGCTCCCTCTGCGAAGAATGCCAGTGCGGAATTGTTTCCTGGCGTTTAGTCCTCAGAGAATTCAATGCTCAAAGGGCATCTTTCATGAGCTTGGCCCTCTAGCTCGGATTGGCTACTTCACTGACTACATCACATTTCCAAAAAGAAAAAAAAATGATGCGTCCTCGAGCCACAGACCCGTCCTCCGCATTGCTGCAGCGACCACCACCGATCTCGAAGTACCCCTGCCCGCTGCCTTTGCTCGCTTCGTGTACTTTTCTAGCCCGGGGCGGGAAGAGTGAAAGCATGAACTAGACCGGAACATCGAGAAATTCCGAGAACAAAATTTAACGACGCACCATTCACGCCGCGCAAGGGGGGCATGAGCACCTTGAAATATACCAACCGAGCATCACAAGGCTGATTCCGCCCCCTGGGGGGTCCCGTGTATCGTGTCTGGTGCACCCCTCCCTGGTAGGGTTTCTTTTTCGGCGGAGGCGAAGGTCGGTTTGACGTCCGTCCTGGCCGGCTGGGCGGCGTCGGTTGCGTACTCGAGGTGAGTCTCGGGGCTGTGTCAAGCCCATCGGGTGTCAACTGAAGCGCATCGTCGGGTGCGTTAAGGTTTTCTTTGTACATAGCGCGATGGGTATTGATCAGGGAGTACTTCATGCAACCATGGCACAATCTCGGTGGGTGAGCTCGGTGCCGTGTCAACCCCATCGCGTTCAAAGCTGAGCTCATCGAATGTCGGGATTGTGTGAACGCTTTTCTCTGTAGCGCAATCAACGTTGATTGGGGTGTCGAATGGTCGGTATGTGAAGGTCTTCCTCTTGCATGCAACTACGAGCAATTCACTAGTCTACCCAGGTTTTTCAAAGTAAGCAAACATGCAGCATAAATTTTAGAATACGCTACGTTGGGGGTTGGGGTCAGGGTTAGGGTCTGCGTGCTCCTTCCCTGGTGTTAATGGTAATAACCTTACATTCTTTGCGTAGGCAGGCAGTCCGAGCGGAAGTAAACATCGTTTGGATGCGTATTTCTTGTTTTTTTTTTACGCCGCCGGTTTTGGGTGCTTTTGAGAGAAATATCGCCCCCGACACCCCCCGAAGCAGGTTGTTGGTTTGGCACGAACTAATAATATCACTCATGACCGCATGTGATGATGTGAGTGCGTTTCTTCGCCCGTCCAAAGTAATTAGCATCGTTTAATAACCAGCGACGAGGGGGCACTTGATTCAAGCCCCGGATAGATGGCGGGGCTGAACATTCGTCAAAACCTTGTTTTTGTCCGACGACACGACGACCAACAACAACAACGACAACAATAATCTGGGAGCGGCGGCGTTGAGTCGAAGCACCCGTTACCCCCAGGGCTGCAAAACCAATCACCCCCCTTCCCTACTGAATTTTTCGACGGCGGTTGTGGTCGTACATGGCCTGGCAAACTGCGCCTGCAGTGCCACACGCTCTGACCCCCAAATGCCAACCCCAAGCGCATCACAGCTACGTTATCCCCATGCCATGGCGTGCGCCGGCAGGATGTGTCTGCGGTGGTGCCGTACGCTGACCAACCCGAAGCCACTCACAGCTACGTCATCCCCATGCCATAGCGTGGGCCGGCATGTTGTCCATACGCTGACTAGCCCGAAGCCACTCACAGCGATTTTTTCTCCGTGTCATGGCGTGCGTTGGTTGGCAGGATGTGTCTGCAGTGCCACACGCTGAAGCAGGTAGCCGTAGGTGCCGCCGTTGGTACCACCACGGGCGGATTGTGGTACCTCCTGTACTCGAAGGTAAGTCGGGCCGAATGCCCAAGGTGCAGTTCAAATAGGGTCAAGGTTGAGACTAATTTAGGCAAAGGCTCTTGGGGTAGACTCAAGAGTTAGTTCATTTTACCAATTTCCCGGGGGTGTTCTAGGGTTTCTTATAAATTCGGAACTGCCTTGAATCGGGGTAGAAGATGTGTAGTCGCTACGAATGTCACCGGGGCGGGAGGCGGAGGGCAATGCCCCCTTCATGTTTCGAGTCCCCTTGGCAGTTCGTGTGTCTTTTTTCACGATGAAGTATGAAGGTCTTCCCAAATGTGCTGAAAGTAGAAGTCGATTTTTGTGCCCTCCCTTTGCAGTTCGAATAAGACAGCTCCCATGTCAACAAATCACACCACCATAAAAAAGTTCCTTTGGCGCTGCTGCCTGGTCTTTGTCGACTAACCGATGACAATCCCTGCTGAATGAGACACGGTGCCCCCCCTCCCCCCCCCCCCCTCCCGTCTACAGGTTTTGTTGCCGTTGCTCCCGCGCGTGGCAAAGTGGCCGATAAGCCGGGCCTTGTACGTGAAAGACTACTCGCAGGTGACGACGACCGTTTTTGTTTGTTGTTTTCGTTCATCTCACACACACAGCATTTGTTCTGGGGCGCTTTTTTCTCGCCAGCTTGACGCTCACTGCAAACACAGTGGTGTTGCGGCGTTCCTCTTGTCGGTGTCGTAGGAGGTTGATACCGTCGCCCGCGCAGGCTTCCAGACGCTCTAAGTAGTATAGCTTCTGAAACGTGCGTTGGGCGTTGTTTTTCCATTTTTTCTTGTCACGCTGGTATTTCGTCGCAAGTTCGAAAATGCCTCCGCCAGGTGTCGAACGTGCTTTGCCTTCGAGCACGACGCGCTTCCCGTCGCTCGAAGCGCCTTCCGAGCGTGCGTCGGTCGTTAATTTTCCGTTTTTCTTTGTCGTGGTGGTTTCGTCGCACGTTCGAAACGCCTCCGCCAGGTATCGAACGTGCTTGCTTTCGAGCACGATGCGCTGTACGGAGACGGCGGTGGCGAGACCGTCTTTACGGGCAGCAGCAGCCGCGGCGGGGTGCGAGCGAGCGACCACGTAGACGCTTCGAGGAAGGTCCGCTGATGCTCTCCCCTGCCTGGTGTGCACACCTACGGCGTAGCTGGGTATGTAGAACGCTTGGAAAGGGGTGCTGGCAAGGGGGCAACAGCAGCAGCAGCAGCAGCAGCAGCAGCAGACAGCGAGCTGCAGCAAGACGCTGAAAATGAATTGGAGCAGCACACCTACGGCATAGCTGGGTATGCAGAACGGTCGGCAAGGTGTGCTTGCAAGGGGGCAACAGCAGGTGCAGCAGCAATAAGGCCGTGAGCACGTGGCACCACGGGAAGATAGCGAGCAGTGAGGACGTCAGAAGCCGGTGCAGGCTTGTCATGGCTTGTGTCTAGAAGTCAAAGGGAATTCGGTCCCAGCAGAGTCCCCAAACCCGGCGGTTCGTGTGTGTATGATGCAGGAGGAGGAGGTTGGGCAATGGCCCGAGCTTGGATAGAATAGTCTTCGATTCAGAAGCAGAAATGAAGCACCTGTGCTGGTTGTACCATCCGAGAACCGCCAGAGCATAAAAACGGCCGGGGAAGAAAACTGCAATGATTATGGACCAAAACCCGTGGAATGATTCGTGGCACGGGTTGCTGAAGTGGAAAAGTAGAAAGCGGACACGGGTTAGAAGCCGCGAAAGCTAAAGCTGGTATTTGAACGCGACGGGTTTGGGGCCCGGGCGTGGACATTGCGCGGTTGCCGTGCAGGAGTAGCTGATGTTGTGCTCATGACCGCATGGCACTTTATTTTTTTCCTTGTTGCCTTTCTTACCTAAATAAACACGGCGAATTCATCTCTACTGCTGTATCCAGAGATGAAAGCAGAATCTTGGGATAGTTTTTTTCGCCTTTTTTGCACACACAAGGACGGGCGTGAAAGCCACGTAAGCGTGTTCACCTTCTTGTCCGTGCGAGGCCGATCGTAAAAGCAGTGCCGAAGAATCGCATCGGTCGGTAGCAGCCGAAACGTGGGGAAAAGAACTTGTTTTTCACAATGGTGGCGGAGATATTTCGTTCGTACAGTCGTACAGTACAGGCCGGCCGCGTGGAGACTTTTCATCAGAAGACTATCGACTCTCCTGCGCCTACCTTTTCAGACCCGATTACCCCGCGTGGCACAAGGGAAGGTTTTTCTTCGCACTGTGCGCCGCAAACCTTGCTGATGGAGTTGCGGTGGTATTCTAGAGGGGGAAATAGTCGCTGGTTGCCTATCAAAAGTAATGAACATACCGCCGTATCTGGATTGTGGCGATTGTTGCTTCCAAATAGTGACCACGGAAGGAACTCAATGCCGGATATTTTTGGTGGGAACAGAAACTCAACCTACGGGGCTTGAGAAAAAAAACTGTGCGGCCCCTGGGAGGTTCATTGAGCGCTGCGAACTAGGCGGTACTAACTTCAGCACCAGCACCGCTATCACAGCTTTTGTTTGTACAACCCACCACAACCCCTTGGATGATTTCTCAAAGCTCGACTGCCCCACGACGAAGGGGACGACACCAAAACCAAACGGTTTTTGCGTTTGTTTTCGGAAAGCTCTCCACGAGACGCCTCCAAAGCCACCGCCAATCTCCTCACCTTCGGTTCGCTTGATGCAGAGCAGCCGACCCTTCCTTGAAAATCGCTCCTCCGGGTGGACATCTCACATCCTCCCTTGGGGGTACTCCAGGCGGTTCCAAGCGTTACACGCGCCCGTGGGCGAGAGCTGTTACACTGTAGTCTCTTGCTACGGGGGGGCAGGAAGCCTGCAAATGCTTCCAAATCACAAAAACCGCAGTAGGACGGATATGTATATACAACGACAGGTAGGTGCTCTAATATTACGAACATGGTGGCTGCGGAGTTCTCCCCACAACCATTCTTTCTAACAGGGTGACGCGGCGACACCAAGAACGAAAATCGACAAAATACCGACGTAACGGTGCTGAACCCCCTCCTTCGGTAAAAACGGAAGGTATTCAAAGATGGATGGGGAGAAAGAAGACGAAATCTTCCTCTGATATCCCGGTTGGTTCGTCAAACATACACCCAAGTTGTAGAGATTTGGCGCCCAAACCACAGATGGGACGACAAAAAAAACAACAACAAGAAACAGGTGAGTACAAAGCTCCCGGTTCTAGACTGATGCAAGCCAAACGTACGACACACATCCAACATTCACCGTCCCTACTGGCTACGGATAAGGGCACTCACTCAAAGTCACTCCCGCTACATGTACCGGTTCACCCCAAAACTTTAAAACCTTCGTGAAACTCCAGTATATGTCCTCGTTGGGTGGCGCGGACTTTCGCAAAGAGACACAAAAAAAAAAACTCGGGATAGTAGTACAAACTGCAAAAACACCATCGGTGCAGGCATGCAAACACGGCAGGGGGAGATTATTATTTTCTCATGGGGGCCTATGCCGACTGAACGGGGCTGATACGCCGAACGGCGGCGGTCTGTCATCGGCTGAGGCCGTGCCGGACCCTGAGTGGTCGACGCCTCTCGCCATCTCCGACCTCGCGATCTCTATCAAGCGGTCCGCGTCCTGCATGGAAGCCGTGCAATTGGCCAGTGCCTCCGACGTCGCCGGGGCTCCCTGCACCACGACAAGATTTCCCTGAATTAAAAAAAAAAGAAAATGCCGGGCACCAGCGACCAACGCAGAGATTAGGAAGGTAGCGAGTGATCCTGGGGAAGAGGGCCTTATCGGTTGTGTACGCGCGAGCTTTGCCGAGACGAGGCCGGCGCTCAATCCCACACGGTCAATACGGGGTAGAGTCACATCGCAAAAATACAAAAAAGTGGGGGACGGGAGCTTCATTTTTCAATTTTTCTTACAACTACAAGAAAATCGGCTCTCCTGTATCCACAGACAGACTTCCAGGGTACAAAGCGATTGAAAAAAATCAGTGTTGTGCGATATACCTGCGGTTCTGCTGTTCTGTAACATCTGCTCCATGGCAACAGGCTAAAAAAAAACTGCAGTACAGTATATCGGAAAAAAGGCCATTTTTTCGTAAAACCAAAAAAAAAAAAATGCGAGATGTTGGATGACAAGAAATTTCGCTGTTGGGGCATAACTCGGCACACATCTCGTGACGAAATCCTCTCCACGGAGCATAGTGTTCAGCGCGGGTTCACGCGGCAATGCGCAACCTCTGGCGTCTGACACGCGCACCACCGCGTACCCGGCTTGCCGCGAAGAAGATACGCGCGACTCCGGCTTTCAAAACAAAACCAAGGCTACACGTGAGGTTGTTTGCAGCCAGCCACACGACCCAACTAACTGCGACGTCGACCTAGCTTGCATCGCGGGTAAGCGCTCGAGCGGCAGCAGAACCCAACAATAAAATGAGGCTTTGCTTCATTTGGTTTTCAGACGCAGCGGCTCATAGAATCCGAAACCAAACCAATAGACTAACGCCACGATTGATTTCAGTTTTTTTTAGAATTAGTCAGCGTTGGCCCGTTTTTTTTTATTTATTTCGGCTTAAGTACGCTATATCCTCCGCTACGAGACGCTCTGACAAAGGTTGGTCGGCACATACCCAGCACGCATCGCGAGCTAACGTAATAGCTGCGCAGCAGAATCCGACAACATTTTCTCAGGCCTTGCTTCACTCGGTGCTGACACGCAGTGGCCATGTCCTCGGCCACTGCTGTAGGCGCTCGGACCAAAAAGAGGCAAGAATACACCTAGCCAGGATGCTAGACGCTCGTACAAAAGGCACATGCATGCGTACCTCCGCCAGGTGCAGCACCGCGAACGCGATGTAAACGAGGGCATCGCCCCCCTCGGAGAAGATCAAGTCGAAGCACCTCCAGAGCGTGGTCGGGGGCAGGCTCCTGCACCCTAGCGAGAGCATGAAGTCGCACAGCAGCACCTCGGGGGGGAGGTTGCGGTCCAGGTGCTCGAGCAGGTCCGGCGTTCTCTCTCCCAGCAGCATCCTGCGGGTGGGAGAGGGGAAGGGGGACGAAAAAGAGCGCGAAATGGCAACACCTTGGTTGGGAACAGGTTCGGCATTCTCTCTCTCTCAGCAGCATCCTGAGGGCCAGCGGGGGGGACAACAAAAACGAGACACGAAACACCTTTGTGGGAAGCTGATTCAGCATTCTCTTCTCTCTCAGCAGCATCTCGAGGGAGGGCGAGGAGGGAAGGAGACAACAAAAACACAAAACGATGCTCCTTCGTTGGAAGCAGGTTCGGCATTCTCTCTTCCAGGAGTACACTGGCTGCCAAGGGGGGAGCAACCAAAGCGCAAAAACGCAATGCCTTTGTTCGGGAAAACTACACGTTCTCATAAAAGGGTCACCTGTTTTTCATTGGTGGAGACGGTCGGCAACGGTGCTTTGATTTCGTGGTACGCGTACGGCCTAAGACGCCAATCGACAATATCACGTTGCACACACACACACAAACACCTGTTTCTAACCCGCTTTAAGACAGACGCCATTTCATTGGTCAGCCAGACGTCATTTCATTGGAAAAGCCAGTTGCCGCGGAAGAAGCTTGTAAGTCGAACACACACACAAACCTGCCGAAAGACTGACGGCATTTCATTGGTCAGCCAGACGTCATTTCATTGGAAAAGCCAGTTGCCGCGGAAGAAGCTAGTTAGTCGAACACACACACAAACCTGCCGAAAGACTGACGGCATTTCATTGGTCAGCCGGACGTCATTTCATTGGAAAAGCCAGTTGCCGCGGAAGAAGCTAGTAAGTCGAACACACACACAAACCTGCCGAAAGACTGACGGCATTTCATTGGCCAGTGGGCTAGCGTGGTCGATGCCAATAGCTGAAAGAAACAGACAACCTAACGCAGGCACACAGTTGAGAGATGCCTTGAGAAGCGTTTCCCGTTTTTCAGCCGCACCGAGACTGGCGTCATTTCATTGGTCAGCGGGCTAGGGCGGGCGATTTTTTTTTTTTTGTCTTCATTTCAAATCAGCGCTCGCAGCACTTGCGCCGTTTACTCCAATCGGTGGTCACACAAAATGCGAGCGATGCATATCACAAAATACAGAAAAGCTAGTAAAGGCACACGCGGCCTTTAGAAGCGTTTCCCGATTTTCAGCCGCACCGAGATTGACGTAATCTAATTGGTGAGCGGGCTAGGGCGGGCGATTTGTTTTTTTTTGTCTTCATTTCAAATCAGCGCTCGCAGCACTTGTGCCGTTTACTCCAGTCCGTGGTCACACACAATGCGGGCGATGCATATCACAAAGCATAGAAAAGCTAGCAAAGGCACACGTTTCCCGTTTTTCAGCCGCACCGAGATTGGCGTAATCTAATTGGTCAGCGGGCTATGTAGCACGGTCGACACCAACAGTCATAAAAAGAACCAAACTGCCTTGTCGAGCCTGTTGCCCACAGGGGAGATATCGCTGTATGCTCCTCGGGCAACCGTAGCATAATAACTTTGTCGTCTCAACACAACAAATTCAATGCTAATGTACCATGCAATCTTTCTCTGTGGAAGAGACGGATTTGTTGTCTTCTTTGTAGGAAAAAAAAAAAAAAGTCAAACCGACCGACTAAACCAGGTACACACTAACCTGATGGTGACAGTCCCGGCACCAGCAGTAGCGATATGAGAGAGCTGCTCCCAGTGGCCGCGAATCACGTCTGTCGCCAAGGAAACCAGCAGCCAGAATGCCACGTCCTCGCGCCCGCCGGCCGTCCTCAGGAGGAAGAGCGCCACCGAGTTCATCCCCTGCTCTCGCGCCAAAACCATACAGTACGTGAGGCATATAGAGGCCACGGGGGTGGGGGCGGGGTAATCTCTTCATTTCCTGCTCCCGAGCCAAACATACAGTACGTAAGGCACAGAGAGGGCGCGCCCGTGGGGTCATCTGTTGATTCACCAACTTAATTCCCTGCCCTGGAGCCAAAAACATGCCGCACGGAGGGCGCGAGGGGTCAGCTGTTGATTCACCGAGTTCTTTCCCCGCTCTCAAGCCGAACATACAGTACTTGAGGCATAGAGAGGGCGCGGGGGTGGGGGTCATTTGTTGATTCACCGAGTTCATTCCCTGCCTCGGAGCCAAAAACATACCGACGTGAGGGATAGGGAGGGCGTGGGGGTGGGGGTAGGGTCATCTCTTCATCCCTTGCTCTCGAGCCAACAAATGCCGTACGTAAGGCGTAGAGCGCGGGCGGGGCCATCTGCTGACGTCACCCCACAGATTGGTGGTGTATTCGGGTGTCTTAAGGGTTCCGCTACGTAGTGAGGCTTTAAAAAACAAATTCCCAAGGCAGTTCGCCAATCATAACAGAGAGAAACAAAGAGAGAGCGCTCGTACCTGGCAGTAGGCCGTCCTGGGCTCCTTGAGAGCGAACGCCCTCAAGACCCGCCGCATTCTCTCCCGCTCGGCGCTGCTCGAGACGTTGGTCCGGTTCACGTCCGACCGGATCGTTTCGAGGGCGCGAGCCGCCAGGGAGTAGTCTTTCGCGGAGCCCCCCCGGCGGCACCAATCTGCCTCGTCAGTAACGCTGACGAGAGCGGCGTATTGCTCCCGGTCTTCGGCGATGGATGCCTGCCCGTTTTGGGTGGGTGCAAGTTTGTTGTTGTTGTTGTTGTTGTTGTTGTTGTTATTGTTGTATTCACAGTAAAACCGTTCCGTTGTCTCTACCCAGTACCTTCTTCTGTCCGTACTAGTCCAACACTTGACGGGGTCGATCCCCGTTGTCACATGCAAGTAATAATTAGCGCCCTCACTTTTGGAACCTGACAGTCGAAATATTCGAAATCTAACAGCTTGAGGAAGTGCAGTCGTGGCCCCGATATTAGAGGTTGGTGTGACAAAGACCCTCGGTCCTCTTATATCGGAGCGCCCTCTTATAGGGTACCCTCTTGTCTTGTATCGGAGCCCCCTCTAATAAGGTTCCTTCTTGTATCGGAGACACGACCTGTACGTAATTAGTTCCCGCACGTTTGAAACCGACATTTGCCTCGGAAACTTCGCGAAATCTAACAACTTGAGCAAGTGCAGTCAGTCGCGGCTCCGATACAAGAGGGTACTTTATAAGAGGGGGCTCATATGACCTGTAAGCTTTTAGCGCCCAGGTTCACTGTTGAACCTGACAGTTGCCTCGGAAACTTGGGCGAAATCTATCAACTTGAGAGCACGATTTGTGAGCCCGGCTGAGCACCTCTACACTAAAACCTACATATAACGGCCATTTTGGCATAACCTAAGGAAAACCACAGGCTCGGCAAAACCATGGAGAGTCTTTCTGAAGTGCGGTAGCGCTACATGTTGACTGTATTTGTGGCAAATCGGATCGGGAATACGTAGACACTCCAATGCGAATGAAGGCGGAGGAGACTCTCCTCGTGGCCTTCCTCATGTGTGACCCCGGGTTGGTGCGTCCAGAAAAAATTGTGCCGAAAGGAGTAGCAAAAGAGATTTGTGATTAGCAACTACTGGCATCGCTGATAAAATATCAGTGAATTTGCAAAAGTAGACCCTCAATAAGCCCCATGTCCAGCCGGTTTTCTTCCAACTCAGTGTTAAGACTGTGATTATCTCGAATGCGAAGTAATTCTTTGGTTGTATGAATATTTTCTAACAAGACCGACGTCCAGCAGAAATAGGATGGCAAAAAATCAAGTTCGAAATCGGACCCGACAACGGCTGGCGCATTCTTCGGTGGTGGATGTGTAGGCGCTGTTCCTAGTAGCAAACAATGTTGTTATTGGTGTTCACATATGTTCACGGCCGTTTTCGCAGCTTCCCTCCACGCAAGCGGGGGTAGTATAATAGTCGCCTAACCTTCCGCGTGAACCACTTCCGCTACCACATGCACTCTCCAAAAAGTGTGTTATGCAAAACCTACGGACAAAAAACAGCCTTGTGCGCCAGCAGCGCAGGGCGTGTGGTGTCTTGCGCAACCGTACGGGAACCAAGCAGCTTTGGGGTGTCAGGAATCTTATTCAGACCTCAGGGGAAAAAAAACAACTATTTTGTGCTCCGCAGCTTCATGTAGGGGTATATCTTGCCCAAGCCTACGAAAAAAAAAGGCAACATTGTGCGCCGACGCAACCTACGGGAAAGAAGCAGCTCCAGGGGGTGTGGTATGTAACGCAAACAACCAACCTTGTGAGCCGCTCCGGAGAGCAGCATCCACATCGCGACGCGGAGGTTGGGCAACAGGGGCACCGGCGCCATGGCCCTCGCCGGCAGCGACAACTCCAGGTCCACCGGCAGCCTGATCAGGTACCGGGCCACGTGAGAGTCGACCCCGGCGAGCCTTCCCGCCCCCCCGCAGGGTGGAAACCCCAGGAAGGCTCTCAGGTCAGCCTGCACGACGACGTCTGATTGGACAGCGCTGATGGCGAGCCTGCGGAGGGCCACCTCGAGGGCCACCCTCCGCTCCTCCAGAAACTCCTGCGAAGTTTCCGCAGGCGGTGCGTAGGATGAGCGCGCGCTCAAGGGTCAGCGGCGCTCCCACGGACAGGTGTGGTATCTTGTTTCACCTACGGTAATCTCAATATTCCACCGACAAGAGCCCGGGACGTGGTCCGTGCGTTTAGAGCCTCCATCTCTTTCGCAGGCTTGCGTTTTAGAGCCCAGATCGTTGTCGCCGGCTTTGTTTTAGGCTTTAATTCCCCGAAGGTAGCGTGCTCTCAGCAGGACCTCCCTTTCCTCAGTGACGCATGTGCGGCGTTTCTCAGTTTTTTTTTTCGTCGGTTGTACGTTGAATGGCATCATATCAGCCAAAAATGTAATAAGAGAAGATTCAATCATTGAGCAACCACCACAATATGTTCCAACTAAAACAGAAGTCTCGATCAACAGCAATTGGCCTAACGTTGTAAGAACATCACATCAGCACCAAACGTAACAGAATTTCCAATCATTGAGAAACACCACGCCAGTTCCAAACGAAACAGTAAGCGAATATTCAATCATTGAGCAAAACCACGCCAGTTCCAAACGAAACAGTAAGAGAACATTCAATCATTGAGCAAAACCACGCCAGTTCCAAACGAAACAGTAAGAGAACATTCAATCATTGAGCAAACCACGCCAGTTCCAAACGAAACAGTAAGAGAACATTCAATCATTGAGCAAACCACGCCAGTTCCAAACGAAACAGTAAGAGAACATTCAATCATTGAGCAAAACCACGCCAGTTCCAAACGAAACAGTAAAGAGAATATTCAATATTGAGCAATTCAAGTACCACATCTGTTTCATTTGAAAGAGAATAGTAGTCGGTCAACAGCAAACAATGGCTTACCGGCGTCATGCTGAGGAACGAAATACTCCGCCAGCTCTTGGGGGGTATTGGAGCATGAAGGTCGCTCGGGAGGCGCTCATAGAGCGTCAAGAAGTCCGAATATCGTCGCAATACGAACCAGCTATCCCCTCGCCTCCTCTTGACCTGCAACAACAAAAAATAGTGGCATGCAGATAAAAGGTAAGGATTGTGTGCGAGAGAAGATGGCGACCAAATCCGAGGATTGGTTTGGAGGGACACAAGAAATAGCGGCAGGTAGGAACTGTTTGCGAGAGCCAACAGCCATTCAATCCGAGGCTTGGTTTTGTGGTGCAGCATTGCTCCCACCAAAATAACTCAAAAAGCTACTCTTTTGCACACAGAAAAACAATAGATGGTGGTGTAGCTCGCTTGTTCTACGTGGTCGCCCAGGCAGCCTAGCGGCAAACCTCGTTAACCTACACTGCGGCTGAAACAAGTGGATTTCCGATTATCTCTAAAGAGTGTAGAGTGTAGAAAAATTGCGATGTGCGGCGCAAACCGATTGATTCGTGAGTGTGCAAACTTTTACAGAACGGCCGGCGAGGGCATGGGGCGGCTAAACCCTCGTCGCCATAAAAACGAAGGAAAGCACCGCGGAGGTATGTGGGGCACGAAAAAAAACGACAATAATCTCTATTGCGAATTTCCTCCTGCGTGACCCCGACTGATACGTGTAATATACTGCAACACAATACGCCGCTGTAGCTCTAGAATCAGAGGTAAAAGGGGGCTTCTGTTTAAGTCATTAGTGTCGTTACACACGCGCAACACACCCACAATTCCTTTAACTGCCATGATCCGGAGCCCCTTCGCGACGGGGTCCCAACTCAAGGCTTACGACGGGTCCCAGATCAAGGCCTTTGGAAGCACTTTCTTTCAGATCAGGGCCTTTAGAAGCACCTTCTCTTGTCATCCGCACTGAGGCTGGCGTGTTTTCATTGGTCAGCCGGTTAGCCTGGTCGATGACATTATAACAATGAATAATGAAACCACACCCACCTGCAGCTGGTACTCCGCGCAGCAGATGGTCCCGGACACGCGAACTACCTGGAAAAAAACGCCGAAAAAAACACGGAACAACGGAACAAGGCAAAGGAGGGTGGGTATTCACGGGGATTATTGACGGTCTCTTGTACCAGTAGTGGCTGTTTAGGTCTGACCGGAAGTTGAACCGTAGATCCGCACACGGGATGTGTCACACACCGTGGCCGACCCAATCCAACCTAACCCTAATCCTACTCCTCACCCACACGGCCTAGCGGCCACGAACTGGGCGAGAACGAGGTTGCGCCGCGTTGTCGGAATGCGGAACGAAGAGAGAGGGCGCTGGAGAGGAATCGACCGCTAGAACCAACCAACGCTCCACCAATCACAGGGCGCAACAGCCCGTAGATGGTCAACAGGCCGTAAAAACTGCTGAGACAAAAAAAAAGTTCCATCAAAATTGCGGGACGCGCCACCAAAAATTCGATAACCTTCGAAATAATCGATCCAGGGGGTGTGGTATGTTATTACGGTACGCACGCAACCCGCGGTAGTGCATGTGCCGTACGTTGCACAAGATACCACACTCCCTTGACCGATTTTCAACCCTAAAGGGAAGAGGACGCGACCATCAAGTGCATACGAGACAGCCGCCACGAGTCTGTGTCCCATGGGTTGCACAAGATACCACACACACCCTGGACCGAACTGTAAAGCGCGATTACTCCACGAGGAACAGCAGTACGCCAAACTCAACTAAACAATACGTTTTTCGAAAAGCTCTCGACGAGACGACATTTCCAACGCCACCGACATTTTCGACACCGTTGCTGCGCTTTCTACAGAGCAATCGAGCTCTAAAAATCGGTCCAGGGGGTGTGGTGTCACGCAACCTACGGTAGTACGGTACTGAACGTAATGTCGAGGGTGCACGAACCTATATACGATACGGATAACTCCGATCGGGAGAGCTTGAAAAAAAGTGTTTTTGAAACTCGGTGAACGACGGGTTCGTGAGGCTATCTGACCAACAACAATAAAGAGGGACTATTGTATTGTGGGCCCGTGAACGCAACCGGAACGAGGTGCTGCAACCTCCCCTGGCAATTCCGTCGACCCCCCCCCCCCCCCGCCCGCTCCCCACTCGGTGTTTGCCATCGGGATTGGGTTTTCGTCGCTTGGCAACGACGTTGTAAAACAGGCCAATTCACTTCGTGAACTCGGCAACCAGGTTACCGTTTTTTTTTTTTTACCTCGTTTTTTTTTTTGGCGGTAACCATAATGGTGGTCGAGTAGATCATGTTGTGCGGGGTCGAGAAACCTCACTCCGCGCAACGGGGGATGATCGCACCACGTTGTGTTAAAATGGTCAAGCTTCCTCGAGGCAGTTACACAGTGCGTACAACTGTCTATGGAAGTGAAAGCACCAGAAAATAAATTAAGTCATACGTAGATGTCAT